ACCACCACCACCATCATCATCATCACCACCACCACCATCATCATCATCACCATCATCGTCGTCATCATCATCATCATCAACAACAAAATGACACATACATACAATACAAGGAGCTGCAAAAGTCAACGATTATTACTCAACATCTCCATTCCTTGCATAATCATAATAAGCTATTACAAGCTGATTATGCACGCACACACACACACACACAAACACACACACACAAACACACACACAAACACACACACACGCACATACATATATACAAAAATATGCACACACGCGCACACGTACACATACGCACACGTATACACAGAGACGTTTACACACAAGTACGCACACACAAACACATACTCACACATAAACACAAATAATTGTACATATTAAAAATGTCATACAGAAAGAAACAGTGTTCAGCACTTACAAAAATGTATAATATATACAGAAGAAATAAATACTTGAAATGTACACACACACACGCCCATATGCTGGGTACACTACACAGGCATACGTGTACACAATAGTACATCATTTAACTTTCAGACACACATAACAGTAAACAGACGCATGTTTGCAAAAAAAACTCACAGAGGCACGTACAAGAAACAAAACACACACACACACACACACACACATACAAACACACACACATACAAACACACATACATACAAATACAAACACACACACATACATCTAATTTAAGAAAAAACACGGAGGTTGCCACATGTTCGTAGCCTGCGTTTATGTATCATGAAATCACTGCCAACCTTAGCACTTGAATGATCAATCAACCGGCCAACCAATCAATCAATCAATAAATCAATCAGCTGACCAACCATACGACCAACAATCAATCAACCAATCAGCCGGCCAACCAACTAGCCAACCGACCTACAAATCGATCAATCAATTAACAAGTGAAATCTATGAATTGCTTCTTTCAAACAATTTTCAACAGTCATGGCCTACTTATACGTGATGAATAACTCGACTGCTTACAGTTTACATTGGGGCCGATCTGCAGCAAGCAAGACAACACAGGTGGTGCTTTTCATCTCAACGTAAGGTAACAATTTATTTGACCTCCAAAACAATACAAACCAAAGATACTGGATGATTGTGAGGTGAGGAGTTCCAAGTGACCCATCGAGCACAGCCACCTCGTCAAAGATCAAACTTTGACTAGCGTGAAAGCGAAGTTTAACAAAAGTTCACATAAATGCCAACGGATTTACAGTCAGAAATATACCAACCTGCTTGTCTTACTTCACACCAAAACAAGCTACTAAAAATTTATTCACTTGTAATACAACTTCAATCAATTCGTCAATAATTTGATAGATTTTTTAGCGAGTGTAATGGCGACTGAAGATGTGCTGGTGTCTGTTTGTTTGTTGATTAGATTCAAAAACTAAAGTGCTGTACAGCTTAAGCTGATAAAAGCTAAAGCTATTGGTTAAAAGAAAAAGAGTGGGTCCAGTCAGTACTCTAATTTGCAGTAAGTAATAACTGACAAGACGGTCGTGTATACAACGTATTCAAGCAGGGTTTAGGTGAATGGTATTTTATTTTGTTTGGCACATCAACTGACTTGGCTAGTTTCACACAAACGCAATCCACATGCTGTTTCAGAGACATCTTCTGGTCTAACAAACCCCTCAAAAAATTTTCTGTTTTGCTTTCTTTATTTTCAATGTTGTTGACAGTGTTTTGAATGGTCCTTTATAATTCATGTAATTTATTCGACCAAACAAAATCATTTTATTTCGTTTATCGTTAACATGTTTTTGTGAGAGCATAATACTTTGCATATGTTTGAGTTTAACGCTCATGTCTTTCTTCTACGTATTTGTTGATCTCTTTCCCCTGCAAAACATATTTTTGTCGTTTGCAAAGAACAAGTAGTCAGTGAACGCTGATGCATTCGGCAAGTCATTCACGAACATGCTGAACAACAAGTGTCCCCGGAAGCGACCCCGCGATACTGTCCCACGATACTTCGATTCAGTTTTGTAGCAGCGTTGAGGCCTTTTTTTACGTTTTTTGACCCTCCTCCTCACAAACTGTCACAAATCCACCAACCTCCCAAAAATAAGCATGTCACAAAACTTTACCCCCCTCCCTCTTACTGAAGAGTCATTAAACAATGTAATCGTTCAATGCATCTCATTTTTTGTTGATATCAAAATAACGAATGATAAGTTTACATGACGATAGTTTGATGTCTAAAGGCTTTACCGTAGTTCAGATATAACAAATTAATATGAAAGATTACGAATTTCTTTCCTTCCGAAGGCTGGCCAAGAGCTCTGAAACTGAAACCAACGGCATACATGGGCTTTCTTCTTTTGGTATATTTAGTAACTCTATTTTTGTTCCATCGTCACAAAGTGTCACAAATATTTGGACCCCTTCCCCTCCCCCTTGAAGGGTGACATCCTTTATGGACGGCCCCTTAATAGATGATGACGAGTAAGTTTCTGGTGTTCTATCGCCTGGTCTTCGCCCATTCATTCGGTTGTCATTAATCGTTTTTTGACATTTCTGATTCTATTGCGGTCTCCATTTTGTCCCGCTCATGTTCCATTCCATCAAAATACCGCTTCAAATTATTAATTTATTTGTCCATTGTTGTCCCCGCACCTGAACGCAGCATTCGACGCCCGTTGTTAGCAGCTGGCGCCTGTAAGAGCCGAGTTATCCAGACTCTCCTTCCCATTTCCAACGAAACACATCTTCGTGACTTGCCATCCAGACTATTTCAAGTTGGTTTCATTTTGCTTTGAATGTGACGCTCCAACCCCTCCAACAACAACCAGCATCAACTGACTCTTGTTTCTAACATTATTTATAACTGTTGTCAGAAACTTTCAGAAACTTTAAAAAAACCCATCATCAAATTCAACGTTATCATCATCATTAACATTTCAAAAAAACATCATCCTCATTATCATCATTACCATCATCACCATCATCATCATCAACATCATCACAAGCAGCATCATCATCAACACCAGCATAAGCAACATCCTCCTCCTCATCATCATCACAAACATCATCAGCATCATCATCATCACCTCTTTCCTTAGCATCCCAAATGAAAATTTGTTGCATCGCAAGTGCAGGAGGTCCTGTTAATAAAATGGCTTTATGTTATTTTGCCTCTTTGTATGCAAGTCTCTATGTGCAAATGTGTGTACGTACGTACGTATGTACGTACGTATGTATGTATGTGAGTGTAGGTCAGTGATGTCCATTTCTCCATGAGTTTTGTTTCCCATCCGCCCATTATTTCCACGTTCCAAGTTATCATGCTAGTCTTTAATTTTTTAATTTTTAATTTTTGAGTTTGCTTTTGTAGTTTTTTTTAATAAAAATATTCAAAATATCATTTGGCAACACAACAACTTCATGAATATGTATTGGGAAACTGAAAAACGACAGCATATCATTACATTATCGAACGTGAACATATCTTCATTACAGTATGCAACATTAAGTATCCAACTTGTATTATTTCAATAAACTGATAGGTTCTCAGGTGCTGACATGCGTTGGATTCCTTCAATTCAATCCACGATCTAATAGTCTATCTGCTTGATTACCAGATTATTTAATTAAAGTCGCTCAGGAACAACTCACAACAATTTAATTAACTTAAATATAATAATTTAAACGAATTTAAGTACAGGCTTTGCATTTTAATCAGATCAAAATAATCTTTACAATTCTTTGTTAATCAGACGCTGAACTTGTTGCAATGCAGCCAACAGACGCAAACGAGAGAGAACAGTTTTCTACTTCTAACTCCTCTACTCTTACTTTCGGGGTACCTCAGCGTTCTATCTTGGATCTCTTCTATTTATACTGCTCTATGCTTCTGAACCACCTCGTATTATTAATAATTTTTCTTTCATTAGTCAACAAAATGCAGATTATTCTTATAATTATATTTCTTTTCCTCCATCTAATCTCAATAGCGTTCTTCATAATCTATCTCTATGTCTTTTTTCAATTATCGCTTGGTCTGAATCTATGTGTCTTAAAACTTATCCTTCTAAATTTGAATTTGTTTGTTTTAATAAAGCTAAACGCTCTATTACTAGTCCCTCTATTATCTTACCTGATTCTAAAACTCTTGATGTTTCTCACAAGTTTTGTAGTCTAGGCTTTATCTTTAATTCTAGTATGTCTCTTTCTTCTCAGATTAACAGTGTTGCTAGAAGTTTTTACTTTCATCTACGTAGAATAAAAAAACTATTGCTTTTTCTTGACGATCCTACTCTTCTTCTTCTTGTTACTTTGTTAGTCTTATCTAGGATTGATTATTGTAACTCGCTATACTATGGTCTTCCTGATTCTACACTCTATCCTTTAAGTAAAGCTTTTAACTCTGCTGCTCGCCTAGTTGCTCGTGCCCCTTTCTTTTCTCATATATCTCCATATCTTGTTCTCTTCCACTGGCTGCCTATAAAATATAGAATAATTTTTTAAATTTGCACATTTATGTATAAGTCTCAACCTAAATTATTTCCTAAGTATTTATCAGATATATTAATTGAACCTAAACGCCCCGGTTTACGATCGTTTTCTTGTTCTCACTTCTTCTTAACTCGTTTTAAACACTCTTTTGCTAAATCTGCATTTGCTTTTTTTGGCCCTTTTTTCTGGAACTCTCTACCTCCTTTTCTGACTACTTCTCCATCACTTGTGAAGTTCAGAGCGGTTCTCAAGACCCATTCTGTTTGCAAAATTCATTGAGGAGCGCTGTTGAACGTCGCGGAAATAGCGTTTTACAAATTGATTGATAAAATAAAAATGCATACAAAATTGATTTATTAGAAATAAATTGATATATAAAGAGACACCAGACTAAACTGTTTTCCATAATTTTCCATTGCTTTCTGCAGCGCAGTTATGTAAAATACAGCTGCTTCGTACTGTGAGATGATCAGTTTAGTTTGGTGTGCTGGTTTTGAACACAGAGAAGAGAAAGTTCAAATAAAAAAATTATTGGATCCAATTATCTGGGTCTGAAGGAGTTGGTTAATGTGATATACGACAGAAAGAGGTGGATTGTCTACAGGGTCACGAAGAATCGGACTTGACTGAACCAATGACAATGACGATGTACATCTATCTATAAAAATGTGTTTAAACAATCTAATTTAGTTACATATAGAAATTGAAGTCGACCCGAACCCCTTTGAACAGTCTCAGTACATTTTATATTTCATCTCTTGCCAACCACTCGAATTCAATCAGAAGACCTGCCCAGCACGATGATCTCCAATCATCCTGGCTTTTTGACACCAGAGAAAAGATGTTGAACTGAAAAAAATTTTTAAAATGAATAAATATATATTAATAAATTATGAAATTGTAAAAATTGTCAAATTTGATGAATAATTATATATGGAAGCTAAAGAATGACACCAGACTCTAAAGCGCACTGCGGATAATGGGCTCGTATGCGTTAAAGGTCAGTATAAATATTTTAAAATATTATAAATTTTTATATATATATATATATATATAATTCTAAATATATTAATTTAATCCGCTGTGGAAAATTATAATATTGATAACTATATAAAATATTTTCAACTTTCCACAAAAATAATTTAAATCGAGTTCACTTTTTAAGAATCATATGTTTCTTTCACAATAAATTTAAAACAGGATTGTCTTTTGAACGAGTTTCCGAATAAATAAAATGAGTTTTCCGTAACGACTGAATGAATTTTTTATTTCTCGATCATGTCAGCCATTTAAAACAATTAGTCCTTCCTTTTTAACGTAACGTAACTTTCTTAACCTCCCTTAATTTACTTAGTCTCTCTTTATTTTGTACTTTTTTTACTGTGTATTGGTATTCTTTTCTTTTCTAAATTTTTAAATAAAAGTTAAACAATTAGATTAATTAAATATTAATTATAAATTATCTCAATATTGTTTTACCGACACTCTTGTTAATCTTAATGTTTAACAGCAATTAAAGATTAAGTTAACAGTAAGACATTAACTAACACTAACTTAATTAACTGACCTGTTGAAAGCTTTCTACACTTCTATAGTGATAGACTATACATCTACCTACCTACAGTCACCCACAATAAGTTTAAGTTGTAAGAAGAACCAGAATCTTGTAACATTTGTTTCTTCATTTAAAAAAGCAAGTGAGAAAAGAAAACGGACCCAAGAAGACATTTACTAGTCATTTTAATTTTGCCTCTATTACTAATCTAGTCACTCTTTAAAAATGTTTGCCGGTTATGCAACAATGGGCTATTTCATGGATGGATGTGGGTCAGAGTCTCCGGAGTTGACCCTTCCAACGGAGTACCTCCCCAAGAAGCCAACCCACGACAACAACAACCCTGATGCCCCTAGGTTCGAGGATTTCCTTATCATGGCTGAAGGCTCCGAATTGGAGGGTCCTATCCCGAGAGTTTGTATGATGTGCTGCCTTTTAAGTAATAACAACAATAATATTATTATTGTGGTGGTAATGATAATAATTAATTAATTATTATTTTTGTGGTTATAATAATAATATATATTATTAATATCTTTAAGCATTTGCATTAATTATTTGATCCTTATCAATTATCAATTTGCATTAATTATTTGATCCTTATCAATGATAGAGTAATACTATAACAATGGTATACATGATAGAGTTAATAATTTCATCTGCATAATGATCTCAGAAGATCCCTTACAAAATCAAAGGTAGCACACACACATGCACAGAATATTGTTGATTATTTTTTTAATTGGCTCTGATTAACCAACTGATTAAACTGTCCTGACCAGATTGTGGTGCCCAAGAATGGACATGGGGCCTTCAACCTGGACCACTTCGCTGTTTGTCTCATGTCGGTCGATTCGCAGAACCAGACTGGGTGGGTTCGTGTTGTTGTTGTTCGTTTGCATTGTTGTTTGTTTGTGTTGTTGCGTATGTTGTGTTTTTGGCACCAGCACACACACACACACGCACACACACGCGCGCGCATTACACACGCACACACATCAACTTTCCTGCATGTTTGCACTTCTCATAGTAGATCTTGTTACAGCAGCAGCAGCAGAGTAGCGTTAAATATGAAGCATCAAAGATGGGTTGATGAGCAGAGAGCCTAAATATTCAAAATACTCATTCACTCGGATCCTGGCTTGGCACCTCACAATTTTGATTCTTAAACTTTGAAATCCATTCAACCCGATGAGACTTTTGGGTTTTGCACAATCTCTGTTCATATTTGGTGGATGTAATATTTAGAAGGCCAACGATTGGCGCAATTTTCTGTTGGGCATTGTCACCATGGCACGACAGCAGAAACTTCCAATTAATCAGCAGCAACAGTTCCATGCCATCATGTGATGATGATGATGATTCTCCTCTTTGAAGTTCGTTAAAAAAGTTGTACATCAGTTGGACGGCAATCCATCCTTCCATCCATCTTTTCATCCATCTTTTCACTACCTATCCATCCATCTTTTCACTACCTATCCATCCATCCATCCATCCATCCATCCATCCATCCATCCATTCATCCATTCATCCATTCATTCATTCATTCATCGCTGAGTGCCGTTCTTCATGCTGGACAAAACGAAACATGAGATACATTTTTGGTTTTTGGTTGGGCCAAAATTTGTTCTCCACGAGGATTCCACGCCACGCACGACCTGCTGCTGTTACTGCTGCTGCTGCTACTACTACTGCTGATGCTACTGCTGCTGCTGCTGCTGCTGATGCTACTGCTGCTGCTGCTGATGATGATGTATTGAAACTTCTCTTCGAACTTCTCGTTGCACTCCTCAAATCATAATGACGTCCTAGCTCGGGGGGGAAACTGGGTCTCTGGACGCTAAACGAAGATTGGTTGATTGAATCTTTCATTAAAGTTGGAGTTGTGTGTACATTGATGTAACGCATCTGAGCTGCTTGCCGCCCTGGATGTTTAAAACTGTCTCTACGTTATTGCTATGAATGTTTCTGCATGTTGTGTGATGTGATGTAAAGATGATGATGGTGATGTGATGATGCGGTGTGATGTGATGGTGACGAGATGTCATTGTTGTTGTTGACGATGTTGTTGTTGTTGTTGTTGACGATGTTGTTGTTGTCGTTGTTGATGGTTATGATGGTGATGTGATGTGATGATGACGACGACGATGTGATAATGAGATGATGGTGGTGATGATGATGATTATATGAGGATGAGCGAACGATGATACTGATGCCGATGAGGTGATGATGGTGATTTAATGTGATGATGATGATGATGAGAATGACGATGATGACGTCAGATTGAAAAAAAACAATGATGCAACATGAATACAAAACAGGCGATTTCACTCTGTTTTTTTTTTATGATGAAGTGATGATGGTATGATGTATTGATGATGAAGTGAGGATGATGATGATGTGCGGATGGTGATGTGGGATCACAAAAAAACACCGAACAGGCGATTCCACTTCCACATGCAGGGGGATGCTCAAGTCTTCATGTCCCAATCTAAATATGGACTCTTCGCATTTGTTAGTTTAGTGAAGAACATTCGAAGCCGTCTTAGTGACTCATTTCTTGTTCTTTGTTTGCTGTTCGATAATTAATTGGTTTATTTTTTAGGTTCTATTCATTCATTTTTCATCCATCCATTCATTTATTCATTTATTCATTCATTCATTCATTTATTCATTCATTCATTCATCCATCCATCCATCCATTCATTCATTCATTCATTCATACATTCATACACACATAATGCAGGTGCAGTACTTTACGTTGTATGATTCAACAGCCAGAGGATTTGTGAGGCCCTACTGCATTGCTTATGTGTCAGCTGACTACATGTGGGTTGTTGATGTTGTTGTTGTTGTTGTGATTATTGTTGTTATGAATGTTGCCGGTGTTGTTGTGAGACTCGCAATGAAGTTTGTTTTGCTGCGAATGCATTGATAAGGATGTTGTTGTTGATGTTGCTCGCATGGCTGTAGTGTCGCATTGAGTGTTGTTGTTGTCGTTGCATCTTTGACCTTGAGGGTTAAGAGTAGTGATGGGACGAGTGGCTTTTTCGGATCCCCGTGAAAAACTAATCGTTCACCGGTCAGGGTACGTGCTTCTTTGCTCCAAGTTAGAGGAAAAATTTTGAGACAAGAAAAGAGTTGCCGAATTTTTTTAGGAGCAAATTTTATAAAATGGAATAAAAAAAAGTTTAGAAAAGAACCAAAAAATGATCAAATATTTTGTCCGATTTTTTTAAAAAGTAACCGAAACATTTGATGACGAAAGAGTATCGCAACTTCAGTTCCCTTATGGTGGGGTTGTTGATCTTACATTAGCAAGATTATAATCCGACCCACTTTATTAATTAAACAATTCAGTCAACCAGCCAACCCGCCAATTAACCAAACATTCAACCAACCAACCAATAAACTAATCAATCATTTAACCAACCAACCAGTCAACAAACCAACCAACCAACCGACCAACAAACTAACTAACCATTCAACACACCAACCAAATAACTAACCAACCAACCTACCAACCGACCGACCAGGAAACTGATCAACCAATACGACAAACTATCTTTTGAGTTGAGTAGATTTGTTGAGCAACTGAAGACAGGCAACTGTCTATTGTTCTTCAGAGATATGTCGCATACGCTGTCCGATCTACAATATACTAAAGGTTACTGTCCTAGATGATGATGCTTGCGATGGTGATGATGGTGATGATGATGTCATCTGATGGTGATGATGATGTTATCTGATGGTGATGATAATGTTATCTGATGATGATGATGATGTTATCTGATGGTGATGAGGGTGATGATGATGCTATCTGATGGTGATGATGATGTCATCTGATGGTGATGATGGTAATGATGATGTTATCTGATGGTGATGATGGTGATGATAAAGATGATGATATTGTGTTCGTGATGGTGATGATGTTTGAATGGATGATGGTAATGATGATGATGATGGTGTTGATGATGGTGATGATCATTACGGCATTTATGATGATAAGAATGTTTATGGTGTTTCAGAGGAGGAAGATGATGATGGTGATGATAATGATATGATGATGACGATGATGTTGTCACAGTGATATATTTGTGAGGATGACTAAGATGAAAGTTGTAATGGTAATGATGATGATGATAACGGTGATAATTACTAGCTAATGATAATAATAATAAATAATAATAATAATAAAAACAACAACAATAATAAAAAAATATGCTATAAATCATGATGAAATCATGATTATGATAAATGCGACTATGGTGATAACAAGTATGTTAATAATAATAATGACGATGATGATAATTATATGATAACATACATCATAAATGTGATAGAGATGATGATAAGCATGATAATGAAAGGATCATTACATCCCAGAAAAGATAAAAGAATCGGTGGGGCTTGCTTGTGCTTGGGAGGACGACGCTGATGATAACATCTCCAGATCCAACAATGATAATGATTGTGAGGCTGGTGTTGAGGATAGTGATGATGATAAACTTCGCAATCACCATCAGCAGCAGCTGCCACAGCAGCAGCTGGAGGATGTTGAAGACCCTGAAGATGAAAAGAGAGATGAGAAAAGAAGTGATAGCACTGATGATAAGTTGCATAAGAACAGTGGTGATGATGATGCAAGGAAGTCTTCGCCGTCATCATCGGCATCGATGATGAAAATCTCATCCAACGATAATGCATGTAGCACTGATGGTGCTTTGGCAGCAGTAACAACATCATCAGCAGCAACAACAACAACAACATCAACAACAACAACAACGTCTACGCCATCGGCTGCAACGAAAATAAAAGAAATCGATGTTGCCATATCAGAAGTCAGAAACATCTTGGGATTGTTGAATGATTTGGTATGTTGTTGTTGAAATTTTTAGGGTGTTGTTGTTGTTGTGGGAGGCTCTGGTTTGTTGGAGTTGTTGTGGAAGGCTCTGGTTTGATGGAGTTGTGCGAGGCTCTGGTTTGATGGAGTTGTTGTTGCTGTTTTTTGTCGATGTTGTTACTGTTGTCTTAAGGGCCCTACACACGATCCGACTTGGGTTCAGACTTTGAGTACCTTGAGTTTGCCTGATCGAATTTTCGCCTGCGCACGTCGCAGATTTTTGTTGAGACTTTCATTCAGGCCTGTATTTCGATCAGCGTTTGCTTGTTGTTTTGAGAGTCAACATGCAAAGCAACGTGCAAACTCATGTACGAAACTAACTTTTTTGTTTAGCGTTCTAAAAATTTATTTAATTAAAAAAATGCTATGAAGCCAAACAAAATATGTGGGATGAAGAGTATTAGGTATCGTAGATAAGTTTGAAATAAGATAACTTGATAAGTTATTTTAAGTAGTCATCAGCTTAGCAACAGTTTAGTTAGTAACAGTTTAGTTAGTTGTTTATAACTGTGCAGTGAAAACTGTGCATGCATGCAAGCACACGCTCCCACTTGCCTGTCCAGACCGTCCCAGCAGATCAAATTTCTGAAAAATCAGAATTTGCACAGGCTGAATTTATTGCCTATGGGATCTCCTGAATGAAACACATACATACACACACATGCACACGCACGCACACACACACACACATGCTGCGACTCAACAGCGCAAACTGAAGGTGACTCGCATCGTGTGTAGGGCCCTTTAAAATTATTGATATTGTTATTTGTTGTTATTGCTTTTGGTTGTTGTTTTTTACCTGCTTGCTCAATAATTGCCATTATCGTCACCATTTTTACCATCACCATTTCTACCTTTATCACCCTTGACATATGATCCTTATCATCATCCTTATCATCCTCCTCCTCCTCCTCATCATCTTCTCCTTCCTCATCGTTATCATCACCGACGTCATCGTCATCATGAATGTCACCTTGTGCAATAGTTGGAAGAGAACCAGATGCAAGTGAAGGAGTATTGTGAGGTGAAGAGTTCAACAGTTGTGAAGGAGACCCCACTGGACAGTGTGAACTTTGACCTCACCCGATTCCTTTCCGGGTCAGTTGAGAGTAGGCATCAGTCTGAAATATGTGAGGTTTTAATTTTGTTTGATACTAATGACCGTAATAATGGATATTTTGACTATGGGATGGAAAACTGCTTGTGCTTATGTGCTGCGCTGGGACAATTTTTGCTCGTATAAACATTTTACAATGTCTTCAAGCTGCGTATGTAACTTATTCGCGTTTGTATACAGGGCTTTGGAGCAAGCACTTTTTTGAATTGCTCCGCTCCAGCTCCGCTCCGGCATAAAAAAAGTTTGCTCCGCTCCGCTCCGTGCTCCGAGGCGGGAGTGTGTTTTAGAATCAATTAACACAAATTTTTTCAAATATTTTTTTAATCAATCAATTGATTGATTTTTAGTACCACTTCCGTAACGTATAGTTAAATTGATGAAATATACAAAAAATTAAGAAAGTACAGGTTCTAAAAATAAAAATGATACACCATACAGACACAAGATAATCAAGTTAAGTCAATAATTCAATCATTCATTCTAATAAACAAAATAGCGGAAAGCAAATCTTCTTTCATCGATTGTCTGTTATCACTTAGTATTAATTTCAAAGCTGAAAATAATCTTTCAACGCTGGCTTGTGATGTTGGCATACTTGCAGCTATTCTGCTTGACTGTCTGATTCGATCTGGATAATGTGCAATGGCTTCGAAGACATTCACCTTTATTCTTCCAACATCCTCAATAGCTTTACAGTCCTCTTCAAAATGCCTTTGTATTTCACAATCATTTTCAATGTGTGATTTCATAGAAATTTTGCGTGTGTTTTCTCTTCTATCTAGCTCATTTTCAAAATCATCGTCATCATCATCATCTTCAGAGATAAAATTTAAATCACATGTTGGCTGGGACACATTAACAGATGTTGACTCTTTTGCTGAATCAAATACTTTTTTTCTTTTTAAC